GCTGTCACATTCACATTGTCTGACCACCATACTACCGTCGGCCGGGAAACCGCCGTGGATCGGAAACGATGTGCCGCCGAAAACCAGAGGTTAGGTTACTTCCTGTTTTCTATTCTCTTGACTTCAATTTCCAACTATATTACAACATGTTTATACCCGAGCCTAGCAGGCATGTGGGGCGCGTAAGGTGTAGTAAGGGTAAGGTAAGGTAAGGTGTAGTGAGATAGTAAGGCTAAGGTAAGGTGTAGTGAGGTAGTAAGGTAAGTTAAGGTGTAGTAAGGGTAAGGTAAGGTGCAGTGAGGTAGTAAGGGTAAGGTAAGGTGTAGTGAGGTAGTAAAGGTAAGGTAAGGTGTAGTGAGGTAGTAAGGGTTAGGTAAGGTGTAGTGAGATAGTAAGGGTTAGGTAAGGTAAGGTGTAGTGAGGTAGTAAGGGTAAGGTAAGGTGTAGTGAGGTAGTAAGGGTTAGGTTAGGTAAAGTGTAGTGAGGTAGTAAGGGTTAGGTAAGGTGTAGTGAGGTAGTAAGGGTTAGGTAAGGTGTAGTGAGGTAGTAAGGGTTAGGTAAGGTAAGGTGATAGGCTGCTGCCGATAGTTCGTAGAGCTAGCAGAAGCGTAAACATGTAGATTCGGAGCAATTAGATGTCGTCGTGCGCCAGGGTATGCACTATTGCGGATTCTACCTTGGACCCGTGGTGAGATGTGATATTTGTGGAAAATTAGCCTGATGCGTGACGTCGCATTCTGTTTGCTCGTAAAACGACCTAGAGTCCCTTGATGTACTATATATATATATATATATATATTATATATTATATTATATATATATATATATATATATATACTATGCAATTTTCCTATTGCTTAAGCGTGTAAGGTGCGCTCGCTCGTTCCGTGCTGGGCTTAACGTTGCTCTTGTTGTCTCTCTCATGCTTCCTGTTGTTCATAAGTGTTACTCCCCCCCTCCTCCCTCCCCTCCCCATCCCTCTCTCCCTCCCTCCTCCCTCCTCCCTCCTCCTCCCTTCTTCTCCCCTCCTCTCCTTCCCATCCCTCCTTCCGCCCTCCCTCCCTCCCTCGTCTCACCTCCGTTCTCTCCCTCCCTCTCTCCTTCCTCCCCCCTCCTCCTCCCTCCCTCCCTCCTCCCTCTTCCTTCCCTCCCTCCCCTCCCTCCCCTCCCCTCACCCCGCTATTATTAAACGTTCTTGTCAAGTGCGTATATTCCTCACCGCTATGTGCGTGTTGACGTTGCGAAGCTACTGCTTTACTGACATCCTATATTTAACGTGCCAATAAAAAGAGCATCTATATTGATAAACACACAGGTACTCGCATATCCTTGGCGAAGCTCTAACGAATCAGTGATGAAGTCGTGTTATCAACTCATCTCGAAACATTTCATTAAGTTTTTCAATCGCGCTCTTTTTGTGTGTACGTATAGTCACTTCGAGTTGATCTAACTGAAAAGGTGTGATTAACCTTCCATAAGTTCTTCTATAAATATAATGAAATGCAGAGAGAGAACATTTGGTTATTACAAAATTACTCGGCCGAAAATCGATAATGGAATTTGACCGCTGGTTCCGTCGGCTGCTCGGTCGTTAATGACGTATAGAGTGAGGTCACGTGTGCGTGAATGGATGGACTCGTTCTGTAACTCGCTTATTGAAGCGGTGGCGGTTCTCCACGTATTTGACGCCCAACGCCTCATGACAAGAGTCATAGTATGGTCATAGGAGAATCCTATTACTATATAATCTATAATATAATCTCCTGTTGTGTACTCTTGGCCATACTCTACCGACGCCCTATCAGTATCAGCGAGCAGCTGTGTGTGTGTGTGTGTGTGTGTGGTGTGTGCTGGTGTGTGTGTGCGATTCTGTGTGTTGGCGTGTGCGTGTGCGTTGCGTGTGCGTGCTGCGTGTGAGTGTGGTCGGGCGTGCGTGCGTGTGTGCGTGCTGTGCGTGACTGGTGCGTGGGAGGGCGTTGCGTACGTCATGGTGCAGTGACGCACACGCGCCACCGCTCCGTCATTTCGGCAGTGCATTAGCGAGGCCTCGACCCACACACTTGTCGGTCGCTTCCCGTGGAGACCATGAGTGGCCATTAGCTGCTGGTTCGAGGAGGCTGTCTTCCTCTGCCTCGTCAGCTGCGAGAGGAAGCGAATGTCTTTCCTCTACCTCGTCAAGGCGGCAGAGAGGAAGCCGTCTTCCTCTGTATCAGCGGCCAGAGAGAAAGCTGTCTTCTCTGCCTCGTCAAGGCTGCCATGGAGAGGCAATCTGTTCTTCCTTACCTCGTCAAGCGCGCCAGAGAAGAAGCTGTCTTCCTCTGCCTTTATCAAGCGCGCCAGAGAGGAAGCTGTCTTCCTTACCTCGTCAAGCGGCCGAGAGGAAGCGTCTTGCCTTCTGCCTCGTCAAGCTGCCAGAGAGGAAGCTGTCTTCCTCTACCTCGTCAAGCGGCCAGAGAGGAAGCTGTCTTCCTCTGCCTTATCAAGCGGCCAGAGAGGAAGCTGTCTTCCTCTGCCTCGTCAAGCGGCCAGAGAGGAAGCTGTCTTCCTCTACCTCGTCAAGCGGCCAGAGAGGAAGCTGTCTTCCTCTGCCTCGTCAAGCGGCCAGAGAGACGGACGAGCGAAGCGATGCTCGCCAGAGATGACGTGCTTGTCTGCTGCTGCCCACACGCACACACGCGCGCACGCACACGCGCGCGCACACACACCGCGCCACGCACACACACGCGCACGCACACGCGCCACGACACGCGCGCACGCACCACTGCGCGCCGCACGCACAAACACGCCACACGCGCGCGCGCCACTACACACACAGCCAGGCAACACACCACACACACACACCACACACACACACACAACACACACACCACACACACACAACACACACACACACACGCAGGCACGCACACACCCCACACACACACACACACACACACACACACACCACATCACACACACGCACACGCACCACGCACCCACACGCACGCCGCGGCGCCGTCAGCGCTAATATCTACGCCTCACTACATCACCATCATCACTCGTGCGTCTAGCATACATATAAATAATTATCACGAGCTGTTTATTAGCTCTTATAATTATGTATAGCATCAAGATATAGCATTACATTACATTTCCTCTGAATCAAAATCATACCTGGTGACGATTACCCTAGTTTTCTCTCCATACGGGATTACTGGCCCTCAGAGGGTCTATGTCCCCAGGGTATGCACGGAACGTACCCTGGGTCGGTTTTCCGGCCGGGCGCTACTATTTAACCGGAACGCTACCCTGGTACTATCTAATATGCGGACCGTACCTCGCCTTACTCCACTAACGAGTCTAGGAGTCGCTACGCCTAACTTCCTACCCTAACTATATTCTACCATAACCTACCTAACCATATCAAATAGTTACAGGTTACGTTCCGGCAGTACCCTGGGGGACATAGACCCTATCCGTACAATGGCTCTAGTTGCATAGTAAATGTGCGTATTTGAGAGGCAACCCGTCAGTCAGGTGACAGACTAAAAGGTGCCAGGCAGGGACTTGGAACGCGTCTATACTTAGCCTCCGGGAATAGCGCGCAGGTACAAATCCTCTCCAACTGTTATGTCTTTTATTTTCTTAATGCGTTAATGGGTTGCGTTTCTGCCTAGTGCAGACCTGCGACTTTCTCATGCAACTACTCGACAGCGTTCTAGAATCGCTGTCAGGTTGTATGAATAAATCGCAGGCCTGTGCTAGGATTCACCGGCTGGCGCATCGCAGTGTTGCTCCGGTGTTATAGCGACTTCCCCCCCCCCCGGGCCCCCCACCGAAGTTTTTCGTTTTTTAAGACGCAGTGCAGAAGTGCGTGTTTACGCCATAAGATCCATTCCGTGACCTAGCTCTGTTTATTGGAACGTGTGCCCCGGGTGTTCGCCTAGTGGTGGCAAGTCGCCTGCAATATTTTTTACGGGGCTGGAGTTTCTGTTTGCCTTCCCACTCGAGTTGTTTGCCGCTTGCCTTATTGGCTGCGGTTCGATCGGATTTGAGTTTCGCTAATGCTATTAATAGTATTTCTGTACGGTAACGGTCGCTCACATCTCTTCACGATGTTTTTGTGTGATTGCAGCGGTTTGCTTCCCCGGAGTTTCACCCCGCTTTTGCCTACAAAGTTATTATGACGAGGTGCTGGTACGGTACACTCATCTCATCGTGGTCATATAGGAGCATTGCGCGGTCAGTGCTAATAATATGCAACAGCTGGCATTTGCATCACCAAGGCATCCCGTTATGTAATGCGGGGCCTCGCCATCAACAAAGGCTTTTATTATCTGCCGTTGATTTCTCATCAACGACGGGCAACTGCCTGCGTTGCTTTTGTACCAGTCATGCTTTATTACCCGCTTTCTTCTCTCTCTCTCTCTCTGTCTCTCTCTTCCTCTCCTCGGTCTCTGCACTGCGCATGCATGCGATTTGTCACGTACGCCAAACCACAACCCTGGTGCAATTTTCCCGCGACGCTGCGCAGGCGCGTCTTTGTCGGTCACGTGACGCTGTGACGTCACCGGCGCTGTGTGGGAAGCGGCCGGTGGCTGACTGCTGCATTTGTCTCATATCGACCGAAGCGGCCTGTAGTGTGCTTATGTTCAACGTTGGATTGTTGCATGATTATTTTCGGGCACTAGTCGGTACTATAGCATCGATATATAGAAATACTGCCTTACGAATATATCGCGCGTATTATTGTGTGTGCAAAAAAAAGTTATATTTGTGCAAGTAATGTAGTTGGTGGAGCTCTATCTATAATATCTTCCGCGTATCTGAATCAGACGCGGTCACAGCCTGTGGATTGATTGAAAGTTTACGTTCATTCGAGACCCAGGCGCTGCCGACCTGCGAATCCCACAAAGTGCGTTGGCGCAAATGCGAAAACACTACCGTTACGTAGTATTCGCCGTACATCGTTGCGAATTGCTGCTTACCGCAGTGTTGGCTCCGCCGGAGTTCCGTACTTTGCATAATGGCAGCTGAGACAACAGTAAGGCTCTCTGGTTGTTTACACAAACTTGGGGCTTCATCCACCGAACACATAAGTTGAGATATCTCGACACTAGAGACACTGTGCAAGCTCCCCAGGTGTCACACGTTTTTCGGCCGCTCTCCTATAGAGTGCGCCACCCGTTCCAAGCGCTGAACAAGGTCTGCGTCGACGCCCGCATACGAGGTCAGCGAGAGAATTGCTGCGGCGGTACCGATCCTGGGAATGATTCCGGAGGGCGGCGGTATGGCAGCGTCGAGCACCGCGCCAGGTGTACGCCCGCGCAAAGCGTCACAACATCCGTCGCGCTTCGCCGCGCGCATAAGGTTGCCGGGCTTTCTCCCCGGAGATGGCGCCACCGTCTGATGAGGGCTGTCTCCGCCCGCGCTGCGAAGCCGCGGCGCACAGCTCTGCGTCAGATAGCCGCCAGAGGGTCGCCACTGATCAGGCCCGCAACGGCGAGAGGTCAATGGTTCGGATTCCTCTTTCTAGCTCCTGCCGGTTCGGCTAGACTGAAGCACATCCGTACGTTTTCTTACAGCTGTGGCTTATATGGCCCGGCAGCCGGGCACGGTCTCGATTCCTAAAATGCCCGCCGTTTTTAAATTTAAGGCGTTACTCGAAGACCGTGGCGCCGCTGCGGCGGCATCATAGCCACAGCGTTTTCCTCTATCGGCAACAGTGAGAGCGTGAGAGAGGGGGAGGGGGAATGTGGGAATATGAGTTCGGGTTGAAGAGAAGAGTGAGGGTGTGGAGGTGGAGCAGAAAAGGAATGAGTGGGTGGAGGAGGAAAGCAGTGTAAGATGACCTGGAGGTGGAGAGAAAAGAATGAGTTGGGTTGGAGGAGAGAAGGCTTGAGCATGGAACTAAATAATGGGGTTGGATGAGAACCTATGTCATTTTTCATTGAGAACGGCGTCGACGCTAATGCATGCTTATTTGCCTTGCATTAGCGGCGGCGCACGCTGTACCCCCGCAGCGTTCACATGTGTCGCACTTTGCTCATCGCATGCTTTCCCGTCCCTGTTTGATCAGCACTTCCGTTCCCTGCTCTGCAAGCCAGTTAGCAGTTGCTTGGGCTTCCTGCAGTGCAATTCTTTGAGCATCAGGAAACCAGAGTATAGCAGTCAATGCTTGGATTTAGCAGGTTTTAGCTGGATGGTGCTTCCGGAGTTGCTTATGTTGCTTCAATTTATGGCCGATACAGCTATAGCAACGCGTTGTATGCGGTAACATCCCAGTTATATACAGCCGAGAAATTTCATGTGCTCTTTGTGGGATGAAGGGCGGCAACTCTACTGCAGTCACAGGCACTTGGAGCGTTTGCAATAAAATGTCCCTTGTCTCAGACGGCGTCTTCCTTCACTCCTTCCTCCTCCCCGCGCACCACCGTTCTTCCCCACGCTCCGACTTCCTCCTCCCGCGTCGCCATCTCACTCTCCGCTCCCGCCCCGCCTTCGCTCCCGTCGCCAACCCTCACCGCCGCAGCCTTCTCCGTCCGCCGCCACCCCTCCTCCCCCACCTCCCACCTCCTCTGCCCGCCGCACCCTCGCTCCGCGCCCCGCTTACTCGCCGTCGGCCACCCTCTCTCCCCGCCGCGCACCTTTCCTCACGCCCCGCCTATCCTCTCCTGCCGCCACCTCGTCTCCCCGCCCACCTCCACCTTTCCTCCCCGCCACCAGCCTTCGCTCTCCGCCCCGCCTTGCCTCGCTCCTGCCGCCACCCCTCCTCCTCCCGCCTTCCTCGCTCCCGCCGCCGACCTTCGTCGCCCATCGGATGCTGATGCATGGCAGGGCACGAGCGGCAACTAACCGCTGGCATTGCTTTTGTAGCCAGTCATGCTTATTGCTCGCGTTCTTGTCTCTCTCTCTGCTCTCTCCTCCCCCCCCCCGGCGTGCTCTGCTCTGCCGTTCGCGGGCATGCACCTTCTCGCGTTGCCGCGCACTGCGCATGCACGCGAGTTGTCACATACGCCAAACGACATACCCAAACTTCCACGACAGATGACGAAGCATGACGGCTCTCCGCTAATGGCTCATTATAAGCTTCTTTGCTCAATCTACCGCTGGGCTACACAGCAGATTTCCGTTACACTTTTTGTAAACGCTTTTGTACTTAACAAGTTTTAGCAGACGGGCAGCCACGGTTTAGCTCCGTATCCTATGTAATAAGATTTGACTAATAAGAAGTTGCAAAGATTTTAAAAATCCAATCTATTCATTTTATGAAAAATTAGAATAAAATAGTGATAACGAAACTAGTGTGCGTATTGTGCGCCCATATTACTACTTTTTCAAATCATGCGCGTGTTGTAACGAAATCTCCATTGCTGTATTTCTCCGGAGCTCTGTCCCATTTATGATGCTCTGGTTGTGGTCAACGACTGCATGCAGTGGCACCTTGCGTACACTCAGGATACCACTGCCCCCAGAGGTCGGCCCAAGTTTTGGAAAGTCCAAGAAAGGGAGCCAGCAATCCAGAGAAAGGCGAGCCAGCATTGGCCACACATCCAAGAAAGGGCGAGGCCAGGTCCATCGCGCGTTTTTTTGCGGCAGTGCGCAAAACGGAAAAAAGTTGTGGCGGGCTGCGATATGTGTTTTGTGCGCGGCACACCACCATTTTTTCCATAAGTATACAATGTAAAGATGCAATCGTTTTATCGCCTTTTAATTGCTCCGCTGGAAATCAAAGTACATCAAGCAAGAACGGCAAATTTAGTAATTTACTGATTTTCACTGATGTACATTTTCATAATGGCTGAAAATGTTAGCAACCGGGAGGCTTCTGAACGCATGCATTCCGCGGCACCGGAGCAGCGTATCATACGCGGGAGTCTGCCGACGGTGAGACCGGGAGACTTGGACGTTGCTGCCACTGCCACAATGGCTAGGCACTATTTTTAAGAGCATATAAATGCACCAATATGCTTATATATTGATAGTTTGATGATATATATATATATATATTAATTTATATATATATATGCTTATATGTTGATTTATATAGATTTATATGCTCTGCCACAACCCTGGTGCAATTTTCGGCCGAAGCTGCGCAGGCGGGTGTTTGTCGGTCACGTGACGCTGTGACGTCACCCGCGCTGTGTGGGACGCGGCCGGTGACTGAATGTCTTTGTCTGATATCGACGAAGCTTGATGTGATGTTTTTATGTTCAACGTTGGATTGTTGCATGATTATTTTCGCACTAGTCGGTACTATAGCATCAATATATAGAAATACTGCTTGCGCTTATTATTGTGTGTGCAAAAAAAGTTATATTTGTGCAAGTAAAGTAGTGGCGCTCTATCTAGGCCTAGGCCTATATTTTCCGCGTATCTGAATCGGACGCCATCACAGCCTGTGTATTGATTGGAGTTTACGTATCATGTCATTCGGAGAACCCAGCGCTCCACGACTGCGAATCCCACAAAGTGCGTGCCAAATCGGAAACACTACCGTTACGTAGTATTCGCACGTACATCGTTGCGAATGCTCTTCCGCAGTGTTGCTCGCCAGGAGTCCGTACTTTGGCATAAAGCGGCTGAGACAGGCAGTCAGGCTCTCTGTTGTCTACACAAACTTGGAGCTTCATCCCCGAACATATAAGTTGAGACCTCGACACTAGAGACATTACATGTGCAATCAGTGTCAACATCGGTCGCTCGCCTATAGAGTGTGCCACCCGTTCCACAAGATCCACGTCGACCCGCACGAGTCAGCGAGAGAATTGCTCGGCAGTCCGATCCTGGGAACGATTTCGGAGCGGCGGGATGGCAGCGTCGAGCCGCGCCAGGTGTATGCGTGCAAGCGTCACAACTCCGTCGCCTGGCCGCACCATAAGGTTGCCGGCTTCTCCCCGGAGATGGCTCCACCGCTCTGCGAGGGCGTCTCCGGCGCGCTGCCGGAGCCGGCGTCGGATAGCCGCCAGAGGTCGCCACCACTAACCAGGCGGCGGACGGAGAGCAATGGTTCGGATTCCTCTTCTAGCTCCTCCGGTTCTGAGATGAAGCACTTCCGTACGTTTATTATATCGGCAACAGTGCGAGTGTAAGAGAGGGGGTAGGGGGAGAATGTGTGGGTGGGGAGAGAGGGGGTGTCATAAGAGGGCAACAATAGGCGAAAGAGAGTAGAGAAACATAAGACTTTGGTAGTAAATAGATTTCGTATTTATTTAGCATTATATTTTATTGAAATGCTCCAAGTGCCTGTGACTGCGATGGCTACTCAGCAGAAGGCGCGTGGCGGCTCCTAGTTGAAACACTCGTCAAAACACGTTACTATAACGTCTTACGACATACTACTACTACTAGTATCGCATATCCTCTACAGGATATAGCTGCAGGGGCCTGCATGCCATTCTATGATTCTGTATAGACATGGTGATGGTAATAGCTATGCACAGCCTAACCTTGCTTTCCGTGTAACGGAAATTTCCGGGCTGCGATTGAAAAATGTCGATTACATGTATTAATTAGTGGGTTGCTGCACACGGCAAACGGTATTGGGCAACCGAATGTAATGGCTCTGCGGTCGCATTCATGCAGGGGAGCCGAGAGGCTTGATCAAGAGGCGGTAAAATAGATAAAATGCGGGGGTGTAGCCGTGTTTTATCTACAGTCCATAGTCTAGTCGTGATGCTGTAGGGTGAGTCTGAAAATGCGTACCCCAATTACTCGCGCATTGTCAGGTTTCAGTAATGGGGTCGCAGAAAATGGAAGTAGAAAATTGAAGCAGTTCATTTATTATACTCGGGTCCGTGCGAATCGGAAATGCCAAACTACTATTATGCATGAACCGGTTATTTGATACGGTCGGTGATAAGAATTCTTTGTGAATACGTGCTCCCTCCGCGTTGTCAGCCCATCACAATCTTGGGTTCGCTTGCACAGAACTGTGGCCGGGAAATATAAATTCGCAGAATGATGACCTCAATTCAATCAACTGCAGGTGCGAACAATATTGAAGCCTCACCTGTAATCAGGTGCTGTCTTACCTGGCGAGGAAGAGCTAATATGACTCCGATGCATTCAAGTCAATTAGTGGCCACAGTTGATTAGTTGATCGACTCGTTGGTTAGCGGGTGCATGATAGATCTGTACCGACATGCGACATGCGAAGCTCAGGAGGCGACAAGATAATGCCTGGATGTCGGCCACAAAGTCCGGGCGCGTATAAAAGGCGCGCCGCGCCTTGAACGGGAGAACTCTTCTCCCTTTGTTCTACCCGACTGTTCTATTGCACGCTCTCTTGTACGCGACCCTGCTTAAAGTCTACTGTCGCTATATATTTATATTACTGTATTATATTATATTTTATATATATTATATATTATATTTATATTTTTATATTATATTATATTTATATTATAATTTAGATAATATTATATATTCTATATTTTATATGACTGTTGCTTATAGTTACTGTCGCTGTAACTAACATGGCTTATAATATATACGTGTTTTTGGTACGTAACGCCTCTAGTTCGTGTTTGCTTTGCGTCTTGCGCTACCGTTACTTCATTACCCGTCACCCACCATACGTCACGACAAGTACGCCGTTACAGATCTATAGAAGGTTTATTCCCGGTTGGCCTACTCCCATTTCGCCTACAGCAAAATTCCCAGTTGGCCTAAACCCATTTCTCCTACTCCTAAATTGTCTACGCTCTAAATCTACCCCATTCCCATTTTGTCAACGATCGGTTTGTTCACTAAATAAATAATCATTTATAAATAATAAACTATTGTTTTGATTGGCATACATAGACTACAGGAACCAGAAGAAAACATAGGTACAAATAATGAGAACACAATTTGACAAAAATAGAAAATCCAGTAGCCAAAATTTTAATGGGACGTAGCCCAACTGGGATGTTACCCTATAGAATATAGTGCGGTATTTCTGCCCGGGTGTCTTGCCCAGAAGCCTAAATCTACCCCCACGGCGATCACGGGCTGTTTGAGTTTGTGAGGCGCGTTGTTGAAGGCGCACATTACGTTGGTAGAGATTCACGATGAATCATGATCAATTATGCCTGTCATTGTTGTAATATAGATCGTTGGTAATGACGGGAGAACATTCAGTATAATTATGTTGATTATGTTTTGCTGTCTGACATATATCCGGGTATCATGGTCGTTGTCGTGAATGTGAGCAGCATGGATGCTATCATGCAATTTTTACGATGGTATGTGGAACGATAAATTGATTTTTGTGATATTTTTTTTAATGTGCCATCACAAATCATGTGATTCTTTTTTTCATTCGGTTAGAAATTATATCGCTAAAGACTTTGATAACAGCGCTGCCATTTTTCACGTAATTTCACTAATCTGGTAGCATTGTGGATCAAGTTACAATGTGGAATGATATATAGTCAAAGGTTGATCAAATTAGTCACCTATCTTGCTATTACATATGACAACATTAAGTAATCACATGTGGATGGAGTATGTCTGACAGTGACACTAGCATCAAGTTTCCCGTACTATTCCGCTGGACACTGCAGAGTTTGCCCTTTGCCCTGGACATTGCAGAGTTAGCTGTTTTTAGCTCTGAGTGTGACATTGTCCATTGTTCCAACCACAAACGAGTGTAGCTCTACTGCTCTACTATAGATCTCTTATGCTAGGGGTACACGAGCGATTTTTATCGCCCGATCGCGACGATTAAAATCGCCAGCGAATTTAATCGCCAGCGAATTTAATCGCCCGATCACGAAGGGGCACACGTAGCGAATTTAATCGCCCGATCACGAAGGGGCATCGCCAGCGAATTTAATCGCCCGATCACGAATGGTGGCACACGTAGCGGAATTTTTGAGAGCGTACGCGTAGTACACACTTCCGTATTGGAGGCAGCATTTTACATCACATGGATATCAACAACACGTCCGATTGGTTTAGAAAATCGATGTGGCGACAAAATACGCCCGGTCACGGGCACACGAGCGATAATAATCGCCCGGCGTAAATAATCGCCCAAAATATCTAACATTTTGGATACGGGCGATTAAAATCGGCGGTCGACGCTGAACGGGCACACGGGCGAATTTTTCTGAGCGAATTTTCAAATTCGCAGCGATCGGGCGATAAAAATCGCTCGTGTGCCCCTACCTTTACTGCGTACTGTCTCTGCTAAACCCTGGAATAACCCGATTGTTCTTGTGACCAGCTGCTGGGTCCAGATGTGAGTCATTCATGTCCCGTTTATAATAATAAGGAAGTGTATTATGTAAGGTACAGCGTGCGTAAATCAGGTCTGCCGCGTGTGCGTGTGTGTGTGTGTGCGCGCGCGTGCGTCTTTGTGTGCGTGTGTGTGTGTGTGTAGGCAGGGCTGGCTGGAAGCAGGGTTGGGCTGGGTCGCGGAGCTACAGCAGCACCAACTGCCAGCATCTGTAATTAGTGTATTGTATGGGGCCTGGCGGTTGAGACACACAAAATGACACAATGGTTCATTCATCCAGGCTGTAGACATTAAGGGTGAGGACATCCGTCCTAATTAAGGGTGGCAGGTGGGTGGTTGTATTGTGATGGCTGGCGGTTCTGTTGCTTCCTATATTACTATCTGGTGTATACGGTTCAACGATTTCTATAAAACATTAAAGTAAAATATCAAGTGAAAACTTTTCCAGCGACGGTAAAATCACGTTGGGGGAGGGGGTGGCACAGTGCGAAGTTTCGATCAAAAAGCTTTTTGCTCAGTGTTAACTTGATATAGTTTTTGTCTTCTATCATCAATTGCGTCGTTATCACCTTACATTATTAAATTCTGTGATTAATTTCTGACTGTTGGAAATGAATTACCTCATGTATGTACATACAGTCAGGAGCGTATAATGACAAATACGCTTTGTCATTATACGCTCCTGATAAAGTCTCTATACAAAGGTGCACGCCTCTCCTTCTCATCCCCCCCCCCCGCTCCAACTCCACCCACATCCCCGTGCACTGTATCGGTAAGTACGTAAGTAAACACTTTATTTAACGCCGGTAAAACATGTTAGGTACAGACACAATAAATTGACGCGGAGCTATTTTCCACATGGCCGTCTCACAGCAACAGAACGGTTAAATATTAAATAAATACACAATAAGAATTGAAGTACTTGGACTAAAATTGTACGGGGTAAGTGTAGCACAATGGGCCCTATTGATAGGGCAAGATTTTCTTTAGACGGACTTTAAAAGAAGAAATGGTGGGGGCATCTCGAACGTCAGGAGGTAAATTATTCCATTCAGATGCCGCCGCACACCGAAAAGATTTTCGTAGCATTTCAGTGCGTTCACGGGGATACAAACGCGCTTCATCTGCACACACACTACGCGTCCGTCTGGAGCTCACTGACACTTCATGTTTAAAAGTAAAAAAGCCGTCAAGATAGGCTGGTGCCTGCTTTAATATGTAAAATTTTGTCAGTTAAAAGAGATCGATGGTAATAAAAACGTTGGCGAACAGTCATAAAACCTAGCTGCAAAAAGATTTCTTCAGTGCGGGCGTCTGAAGGTCTACGAATGTGTAGAATCAACCGCGCAAAACGTTTCTGCAGGTTAAAAACTTTGTCAATATAACTCTTCGCGGCATTTCCCCACACAACAATACCATAATCAATATCAGGCAAAACAAAGCCAAAGTAAAACTTCAGACAGGAATCATGGTCCAGAAATTTCCTGATCCGCCAAAACAGTGGCAGCTTTTTTGAGATCTTGGCACACGTTCGTTATGTGTTCTTCAAACGTGAGATTATCGTCAACATGGATACCTAAAATTTTCTCACTCGACGTGGTGGGAAGAACAGCCATTATAGACAGTATGGAGTACCGCGGATGGGAGCGTAGAACGCTTCTGTCTGGAAGTGACCAGCATGGTTTTGGTCTTCGATGGATTGATGACCATTTTGTTTTTAGAACACCACTCACGAACTTCCTCCATATTGTTATTTAGACGCTGTTCCAGGTAAGTTATCGGTAAAGTTTTATCGCACTGCTTCTGTTGAGATATCGATCCGTGAAGTCGTCTCCCGGGCTGACGTGCGGTTGTTTTCGATTTGTTGCAGGCTTCGTGGTACGGAGGCAGGAGAGTCTTTCGCGGGAGCGGCCGAGCATGAAACAACGCTCTCTCAGTGAGGACTACAAATCCATGAACGTGTCGTCCAACGGCAAGTGGGTGAGTGCACGCCATGCCCCGTATGCATGCTCGCTTGTTCGCGCGGCGCTCGCTCGCCGTCCGTTGCCGTGCCCCGTATGCATGCTCACTTTTTTGTGCGGCGCACGCTCACTTGTTAACGTGGCGCTCGCTCGTTCGACCAACCCTCTCGGTCAGCAGTGTGAAACCCTATATATGATATAAGAGGAAGGAAGGTGAGGGGGGTCGCCTGCAGTTCCTCGAGTCGAGGACATCTTTGTTTGTCTGGCACAACAGGCGGCTGGTCAGTAGACTGGTTATAAGACCCGTTTCACGCTCGGGGTATCGACACGAATGGCGTTGTGTTTTTTTGGTGGGAAAGAGTTTTTCGTGCTGTACTTGCTAAGTCAGTATAGACTAGAGAGGAAAGAGGAAGGGAGGGAAGAGTTGTGCTTTCACTTACTGAGGCGTCCTGTTTGTGGAACAAGATGATGTCTGTGGGTAGCAGGGAGAAAGCAAGTAGAATGCCAACTCTTGCTTTAGTCTAGGGAGAGGGTGAGGGGCTGGGGAGGGTTTATTTTTACACAGCTGGCTGGGTATTGATGTCAGGCTCCGCTGTATACATGGCTAGGAAGCGACCTTGAAATGCCATTGCCAAAGTCCGGTTGTTTTTCGCGGGGAAGACTCCGAAAGAACCAGCATCGATAGCGATTCTGCTGTGTTATTGTACTCCCAGTTTGGCTCATAGGGTCTATGTCCCCCAGTGTACTGCCGGAACGTACCCTGGTAACTATTTGACATGGTTAGGGTTAGGGAGTAGGCGTAGGTGACTCCCTAGACTCTTTAGTGGAGTAGGCGAGGTACGGTCTGGCATATTAGATAGTGCCAGGGTACGTTCCGGCAGTACCCTGGGGGACATAGACCCTCTCAGCCCCAGCAAGGGGAAAGCGAGTAGATTGCCAACTCCTGCTTAGTCTAGGGGGAGGGGGAGGGGGAGGGGGGATAGGTTTAGCCGAGGGGCTGGGGAGGGTTTATTTTTGCACAGCTGGCTGGGTATTGATGTCAGGATCCGCTGTATACATGGCTAGGAAGCGACCTTGAAATGCCATTGCCAAAGTCCGGTTGTTTTTCGCGGGGAAGTCTCTGAAATAACCAGCATCGATAGCGATTCTGCTGTGTTATTGCAGGGTTCTCCAAGAGCACTTATAGCCTGGCAGCCCGCCAGGCTATCGTCGAGCCCCGCCATTCTAAAATGCACCTGCCACTCTAAATATCATAGCCCCCGGATCCCCCTAGCGCGCAAACCGCCTTTGGCGATTTGCAACTAGGACCGTAAAGGCAGCACCCGCCATGCTATTAAATGAAAAAGCTTGGAGAACCCTGTATTGTACTCCCAGTTTGGCCATAGTACATCACAATGCATATGTTTATTTACGCCTTTACTAATTATACAGATATACCACATAGACGGTATTGCTCCCAAAACCTTTTCATGATCACAGTTAGATGCACTGGATCTAATATATTTTTTACATTTCGCTGTTACAGTTATCAGATACTGAAGTCTTCGAGACAATACAAATACAGGATCTTGGTACGTTGATGTGTCTATGGCTATATAAATATTTGCTTTTGATAGCATAATTAATCATAAATATATGCTCATAGAACTTTGCATCTTGATAAGATACTAGAAAAGTACATCAGGAATAGGTTTTCTTCTTATATTTGCACATATTGTTGCTTTTTCTGAAATATTTGTTGAGGTTTTTTTCGTGACTTTTGATGTCTATTTGCATGTGATAACATTTGGGTCATTGCACTGTTGATTACGAATATATTTGTTTTCCATTCTTTCATTGTGACTGGCCGATGGTCACAAAATCAGCACTACTCAATGTTGAACAGTGTTGCTTGCTATTGAACAACGTTGCTTATTGTTGAACAATGTTGCTTGTTGTTTTAGCCGACGAGGATGTTGGGAAGGTCTACAGTAAATTCCTTCAGGCACACAGATGCTACGATCTGATACCGATCAGCTCGAAATTGGTTGTGTTTGATACGACACTTCATGTCAAGAAGGCATTCTTTGCTCTCGTCTACAATGGTAAGGAAGTATTCTGCTCCCTAATAAAATAAAAAACTTCGAAATTTTTCATGTTATCGTATTCTACGATCATCGTATGGCACAGCATTGCTCTTGAGGCTGTTCGTGTTGAAAATGTGGGTGGAAGAAGTTATCGTGAAGGTGGGAAGATGTGGAAAATGAGGAGGAAGGAGAGATGGGAAAGGCGGAGAGACATGGTTCGCACAGTCCTTGAAAAGTCCTTGAATTTGAGGGGAGTCCTTGAAACGTCCTTGAATTTGAGGGGAGTTCTTGAAACGTACTTGAATTTAGTAAATGTTGATTTTGTGCTTGAAAAGTCCTTTAATTTTTAGAAAGAATCCTTGCCTGTAATAAAACGAAATTTTGTACCATCAATAATGTGCAAACCTCAATAAAAATTGCGTTAAATGAGCTTAAAAAGCTATATAGACACGATAGACAGTTAAATGATGATCACAAATTACAGTAAGTTAGTAAAATCAGTCAGTAAATCAAGGTATGTTGTTGAAGTGACCGTGTTTTAAAGGGTTTATTAAATTAATCCAGGTATGTTTTGTTCTGTGTATTAATTCCGATAAAATGTCCTTGAATTTCTGATAAAATGTCCTTGAAAAGTCCTTGAAAAAATTTTCAGTCCTGTATGAACCATGGAGAAGGAGGAGGAGGAGTCCGAAATTGCAATCGATTTTTCGTCGCGAAAATCAACCGAATTCGCCTCGGAACTTACAACGGCAGTAGTTACCACGGCAACGCTGCGCGCGGCAGTAGACCGCTGGCCGGATCGTGTGGGGGGGCAACGTCGATAAATTTCTCGCTTGTCGTGTTTCAGGTGTGAGGGCGGCACCGTTGTGGGACCACGCGACACAGAGCTTCGTCGGCATGCTCACCATCACAGACTTCATCAAGATCCTTCACAAATACTACAAGGCTCCACTGGTGCGTGAGAGACGCATGCTCGCGACTACCGTGATGGCGGCCAGTGGCGTAGTTAGGGGGGCCAAAGGGGGCCCCATTAATCCAAAAGTAAAGATAAAAAAACAAAAAAATTAATTGTTCTCCTAAAAAGAGAATTGTCGTAGTTAGAATGAAGGCTGTACATGTACTGAAATATCATCTCCTGCGATCAACATTTTAAAAAAATTCTGGGGGAGAACCCCCATACCACCCCCTAACGAACAAAGATGTCGCCTTTATGCATGGCGCCTGAAACAAAGATTGCAGAGCTGAGAGGTGGGGGAACGTAGGGTGTGGAGAGGGAGGCGGAGGAACCATTAAAATATTAAGTCGTCCACCATTTTGCGCAGTTCGCTGTTTTTGGCCCCCCCTGTTAAAAAATTCGGGCTACGCCACTGGGTTCATGTGATTGTTTCTCACGCGTTCTTGAACCGCCTTCCGCAGACACGAGATTGCGACATCGCTCAAGCTCGTTAGCCACCGAGGAGGATGTACGCTCGTCTTCAGGCATGAGAGTTGTCCGCTAATTAGCGGAATTCAGCTTTTTTTAATTTTAAAATTCGCCGACAGATTCCGCTTTTCCGACCCGCGATAATATTGTGTCCATTTCTAAGTACCGTGTTGTCGAACCCGGACCCCCGCCTTAAATATCTGCAGCTTATTTCTCTGTTACTCACTCTCATGCCTGTGTCTTGCAGAAGGTTTCGATTTCTGTAATCGGCTGCGTGTTCTGTCCGTCGCGTGCGTCGAGAGCATTGTAACTGCGGGTGTCGACGTTATGTTGGCTGTATCGGGTCGCGTTGACCTTGGAAACGAAACTGACCTTTCTTCGTTCATTGAGCGTCAAAACCGTGTCGTGTGCGTCAGGCACCTCCTGTCCATAAATGTGATTTTGCTCGTGTGACATTTTGCAGGAGAAGATTGCTGAAGTTGAAGAACATAAAATTCAGACGTGGAGGCAAGAGTTCAAGATCGGGCAAAACTTGACTCGAATATCTCCAGAGGCCAGGTAAGATGTCAGATCCCTTTTTTTATGTACAGTTTATGAGCATGGGTTCTTGACCTGTGGTCTATGGTGCCCTTTGGGGATGGGCATCAAGGGGTCCGTTAACCACATTGTATGCACAATTTTGTGTTTATGTGCATTTTTCTGGGAAGGGGTCCGTAGCTTTCACCAGATTCTCAAAGGGGTCCATGATTCAAAAATATTAAGAACCACTAGTGAGTTAGAGGCTCACTACCTCCCCCTCCCCCCCGCTTTTGTTTTCCACCTGTTGTGTTTTCCCCGCACCTCCCTGCCTTCTTTCAGGATCTTTCTCTTCTCTTCCAATCCCACTCTCTTCTATTCCTGCGTGCCCTTTTTCAATCTGGCTTTTTGCTTTTGTGTCGTCTGTTCTTCAAAATCGTGCTCTCCAATCGTCATTATCGATTTCTGCACTTTACTGTCGTTAACAATGGCTTCTCCTCTCCTGTTGGCAATGGCTTCTCTGTTTTTTTCCTGTTTACGATCTACTCTCAATTTTCTCTCGCGCGTAACAATTTCCGCTCGTTCCCCGATTTTAATGCTGGCTTCTTTGCTCTCTTTTACATGGGCTTCTCCGATTTTCTCACGTGTTAACAATTTCCGCTTGTTCCCCCGGTCTTCTCTCTGCTGTCTTCAGCACTGGCGTCTCTTCGCTCTTTTACATTGGCTCCTCTGATCTCTCGGCTTTTTCTCACATTCTTAACATTGTCCGCTCGTTCCCCGATCTTCTTTCTGCTATCTTTAACGCTGGTTTCTTTGCTTTTTTTAACGTTGGTTTCTCCGACCTCCGAGCTATCTCTTACGTTCTCAACAACGTTCTCTCTCCCTCTCCTCGCAGCCTCTTCTCTGGCCTCCTCTCTCCTCTTAGCTCGCAGCTTTCTCTCACAGCGTTAACGAAGCCCACTCGTTCTCTCTCCTCATGTAGCCTCTTCTCTGGCTTCCTCTCTTCTCTTAGCTCGCAGCTTTCTCTCACAGCGTTAACGAAGCTCGCTCGTTCCCTCTCCTCACAGCCTCTTCTCTGGCTTCCTCTCTCACAGCGTTAACGAAGCCCGCTCGTTCTCTCTCCTCACAGCCTCTTCTCTGGCTTCCTCTCTCACAGCGTTAACGAAACCCGCTCGTTCTCTCTCCTCGCAGCCTCTACGACGCCGTCAGCATCCTCAAGCAACACAAGGTACACCGGCTCCCCGTCGTCGACCGGCAGACGGGCAACGTCCTGCACGTGCTCACGCACAAGCGCATTCTTCGCTTCCTGCACCACTTCGTGCGCGAGCTTCCCGAGCCGGCGATGATGGAGCGCGGGGTCGGGGAGCTGGGCGTCGGCACGTACGGCGAACTCGCGACGACGACCTACGACATGCCGCTCATCGACGCCCTCGCGCTCTTCCTGCGCCACCGCGTGTCCGCACTGCCCGTCGTCGACGCTGACCGCCGCGTGCTCGACGTCTACGCCAAGTTTGACGTCATTGTGAGTATCACTGTGTGTGTGTGTGTGGGGGGGTGGGTGTGTGTGCGTGTATGTGTCCGTGTCCGTGTGCGTGCGTGCGTGCTTGTGTGTGCGTGTATAGGTGGTGCGTGAGTGTTCATGTGCAGGTGCGTGTACATGTGTGCATGTGCACTTGTGTGTGAGCCTGTCTGCCTGTGCGTACGCGTTTTGCACTTAATGGCTCCGTGCTTCTCTGATCGCATTCTTATGCATCATTTATGCTACCACATCGATGTTAGTATGTTTGCTTTGCTGGAGAACTGCATCCATATTATCCATTAGATTCTCATGAGCGAGCTTCGGTCTCTTGGCACCGTTTTTTTTGCATTTTCGCTACGAGCAAACAGCTACGATAAAATGTTGTGCCGTTGTATCACGCGTGTCTTATACCTTAGCGGCCTGCACAAATCCGATCTCCAATCTTCGGTCTTTTTGCACCATTTTTCAGCATTTTCACATTCGAACAAATTGCGATGATAGCGTAGCGGCTTTTTTTGCATTTTCACGGTGAACAAATTGCATCGATAGAATGTCGTGCTGTTGTATCCCACAAGTCTTATACGTTAGCGGCCTTTTTTGCATTTTCACGGTGAACAAATTGCAACGATAGAATGTCGTGCCATTGTATCCGGTATATGTTGTATGTTGTGCGTGTCTTATACCTTAGCGGCCTGCATAAATCACCGATCTCCAATCTTCGGTCTCTTTGCACCATTTTTCAGCATTTTCATATTCGAACAAATTGCGACGATAGAATAGTCTATGTCGTTGTATCCTGGGTGTCTTGTACGTTAGCATAAATCCAATCGAATTTTGGTAAAAACCGTGAACCCGTTCATTGTATCTTATCTAGTATATGTTGTGTGTGTCTTATATGTTAGCATAAATCATCGATCGTTTTTGGTAAAAACCGTGAATCCGTTCGTTGTATCTGGTATATGTCGTGTGTGTCTCTTATACATTAGCATAATTCATCGATCGCTTTTGCTCGCCGCAGAACCTAGCAGCCGAGAAGACGTACAGCAACCTGGACGTGACGATCTTCGAGGCTCTGCAACATCGTACGGGCAAACAAGACAAAGTTCACACCTGCCTCGCAACGGACTCCCTCAGGCATGTGCTGGAAACCATCGTCAGAGCCGAGGTAGGTTCCCCATCGACGTATTAGCCAGCGAGCCGTGCAGCCGTGGTTTGCACGGTCAGTTTTGAAATTGCACTCCCAAATATTTTTTCTGCACTCCCACAATACTTATTCCTGGCTAATACCTTGTTCCCAATTACATCTCACGCTGTGTGCGTGAGTTTGTGTGCGAGTCTTGGAGGAAAGTCTCGGAATGTTGGAATTTTTTAGTTCTTGATGATGGTGGGGATGATCAATGATGGTGATGATGATGATAGTGATGATGATGATCATGATCATGATGATTGTGATAGGGAAAGTTAACTCGCAGTGCTAGCAGTGGAATAACCCCCCGCTGTAGTATTTACTGTGAAAGCAGCTGCGTGGCCTCAGGTTAAGGAAACAGAGATAGGCACCGCCCTATGCGCCACATAGGCACGGGAAGGATTTAACTTAATTTCAGAGATGCCAACCACTACGATTTATCCGTATTTTATACAAATTTCTATTTCTTTTGCACCACTACGACCAGTTTGTATCAAACTACGAATTTCACTGTGATAGAATTTTTTTTTTTTTTCAATTATTGTCATTTTTTGTCAATTTATTGTCATTTTTGACCCTCAGAATGCAGGAAATTGCATCTCAGAATCAAAAAAATTTCCGGGGGCCATGCCGGACCCCCCTAGCAAACTCGGGTCACTCGAACTACTAATTTGATGGCCAGAAACTACAGATTGCTTCAAATATGTGTTGGCATCTGTAATTTAACTAACGTGCGTCGCGATCTCTTTCTTCGTTTCGCAGGTGCACCGGCTAGTAATCGTTGACACTGAGAATCGCATCGAGGGTATCCTCTCTCTGTCAGACATGTTCAACCACATGGTCCTGAAACCAGTGGAGAATGATGTGAAGTCAGGTAAATAGATGTAGGTAAAACTTTTCTTCTCTTCTGTGCATCCGTGCGTTCGTCTCTCCGTGTGTGCTCTGTGGCTGTCAGCGTGTCAGTGCTTCACATGTCGCGCGTCCGTGCTGTTGGGTTCTGTACGACTACTGCACCTTTAGGAACACAGGTATCGATAGTCTGTAGTCTGATAGACAATGTCTGTGTGCGTGCATATCTGTGCGTGCGTCGGTGTGTGTGCTTATTTGTGTGCGTGAGCATTGTGCGTGTTGCGCGAGCGTGTGTGTGTGTGTGTGTGCGTGCGTGCGTGCGTGCGTGCGTGTCTGTGTCTGTGTGTGTGTTTACGTGCGTGCGTGCGTGCGTGCCTGTTCATAGGCGAGTCTTCGTGTGTGTGTATGTGGATACCTTGTAAGATATGTTATTTCATGCATACTCTGGGTCATGTTATCTAGGCGTTACAACGCTGTCGTGTTGTTTACCGTGCAAGGTGCCGGTGGGGCAATCCTTAAAAAATTCTATGTTTGCTGTCCCCCTCCCCATAATTTTTTGTGTGAGGCATAATAGTTATTTTAATTCTGTCCTCATGTTTGCCACACATGCTTTGTGTTTCAGTCTTAACTATGAAAAATAAAAATAAAAATGTGGAACCCAAAATGTCAAAAAAAACTTTTGGGTCGCGGCTATTTTCGTGGGTCGGTCGGAGGACAGCAAACATATAATTTTTTAAGGATGGCTTGGGACGTGTATGTCAGACACTGCTTGTTCTGTGATATTATGCTACTGTCATCATCGGCTTTCTTTGTGACCTGTAATTTTGTTTGTAAACTATACAATGATTTGTAACAGTGTAATGCGTTTTAATGTCAACATGCGTCGTGTGGTTTAAGGTTTTGATGTCATGCTATAATCTATAATAATTAATTGGGATTCTAATTAAAAGTGGGATTCTACAATGCTGCATTTTACTGTCGTGTTTTTTTCTTCTGATTATCTACGTTATCTTACGTTCGTCTTGTTTCGCTTCTGCAGATGATTGCCTGCCCTACATTGCTCAGGACAGAAGTGCTAGCTTCCAGATGGAAATTGACGAGATTGGACACGAAATCGAAGAGATGCAAACCGTATAGCCAACAAGTGCTGCCCTCTGTTGTAGTATTCATGCCGCTGGCCTTAACTAGAGAGACTAGTGCCATGCATACTTCAGTCGCGTAATGTGCGGTACACTCGACTGGCCTGCAAAATAGCAGCTCTGTGTCAAATTGCCAACAGAAGTCACACTGCGCGTACGTGTATGTATGTATGTATTTATGTATGCGTAAATCTATATTTATGTATATATATACACACACATGCAGACGCGTACATACGTGGAGTACTGGATTTCTATCATCACTGTCATGTTCACTACATGAACGAGGTTCGTGTTAGTACAGCTAATTAATTGTTAAGCGTGTAACAGGTTCGTTTTGGCGGGAAAAAGATGTGAACGCCAATCATGTGAGGCAGAAACTGGCGTTAACAGTACGACAATTCAGGCGTACCGCTGCCGACGCTGATATAGTTTTGAAATTGGACACATATCATCAACGCTTAATCTTGATCGACCTAGCCAGTGCACATTAAAGGACGGGGGTGGGTTGGGTTTTAAGGCAAAGAGTGAGAGCACGAGAATCGTGCGTCGGGGGGTGGGTGCGACGGGAAAGGGGTGAAAAGTGTTTCGTAAGGTCATGGAGCGAGGCAATGAGAGCTGCATTGTGATGTTGCAACCGAACCCGATGATCGCCCAACCTCCCCGGCGACGCTGCCGATGTGGCAGCAGCGCCCCCTATATTCTTCCGATTGTGTCCTGCACTGCGGAAGCGACTTTGTTGTGAGATGTGAGCGAATCGGTGCGACGGTGGGGGCATTCTCTTGTTGGGTCTGGGTGGCTTCTCCATCTCCCACCAGCGTTAACTACTGTGGAAGTAGTTCTTCCTCCATCTTCCACTGGTAAACCTTGTAGACTCACGGGCCTACTTGGAAGGTGGGAGGTGCGGATGGAAGGTGTAGGTCGCAAGACGGTCATCAGGAGGCATGAGAGACTGACGTGACCTGGCTGCCTTTTGTAGTATGTGAAATATATTGTATAGCGTCGGGTTAATGCTGGTTTGTATTTAACAGCTGTGAGATATATTGGTGTATTTATAGGTATGTAGCGGTTGGAAAGGAAGAGAGACAGTGTGTGTGACTGCGAGAGAGAGAGAGAGAGAGAGAGAAAGAGAGAAAGAGTGTGCTAGCTTTTAAAGTTATCATATATACCTTCGATCAATATAGAGTAAAAATCAGTGTTTACACGACGGCCGCACACCAATTCAACAGGCCGCTATAGCGTCGACCGATACCCGACGTACACAAAGACGTTGCATATGCATCACGGTAATTCAGTCACAGTCCTGTAACAAAGAGACCTTTGTTAACGATGTACAGTAACTATGACACACAAAAGTAACTGTAATCACCCCGAAATTTTATAAGTTTAACTGCTCAACACCATTGCATTCATCAGACTTTCTCGCTTGATTCAACCGTATTCGAACCTGAAACTTTTTCACTCGCGAAGCCGCCAACGATGTAAAATACGGCCAGTATACATACACGTGCAGCGGTGCCGTGACGACCGACGCGGTGCGCGTCCGTAAAGTGCGTGGTATGCGCTGTTGTGGGAACTGTAAAAACGCGTTATTAATGCCGGAAAATCATATTTGCC